GTAAAAATCGACGCGTTTCAGAAAGGCGGAGCATAGAGGAGAAACAATAATGTACAGTGTGTGGAAAATAATGTGTTTTTTGAACCTTAAACCACATAAACACATTTCATTACACCAAATACACAAAATGATGTTCTTTTTAGCAACGTCATATGACCCCTTTAAATGGCATGTGAGATTAGTGTTAGTGTGTCCCAAAATCATGGTGCACTGAAAATTGTCAATGGTGCCAAGATGGTATAATGTTTCTGGTAGATTTTTTTTGACGTGTGCATATTTGCATGCTTTATAGGTTAATGTCACCCACAACCCCTTGCTCTAGAATGGAGCATGATTTTGTGACAGTTTGCTTTACATTTCTTCAGTGTGTGTAGAAAGCCTCCATGTGACAGCTGGGCAGACCTTGTGCATTCTGGCAGTCGGTTTATTAAAATATTCAGGTGCAGTTTCATTCCATGTTTTTTGCAGCACTTCCCATAGGTGTGATAGGCTTGTAGGGCACTTCGTGAACCTTGCAGATGAACACCTCAAACTGTGATTCATCTGTCCTTAATTATTCCTATCCATTTATTTACAATATCTGTCAGTAGCAGAGGTAGCACTTTCTATGAAACTCTTCACTGTTTTGCTGATTGTATGTGGAATAGCCTTAGTCTCCCAAAACAGCAGCGTATGGACTGATGGGTTTCTAAAGGGGTTTCTTTTTGGTCATTTTTTAAAATCAAAATTTGATTCACAAGTGTACAAGGACTTCAGTGCACTCAGTGCTTTAGCAGTTGAAAAAAGACAGTGTCTTGCAGTCTCCACATCATTATGCAGTGCAACTATGTTCAACTGTGCTGATAATAAGAATGTGTCTCGAATACCAATTCAGTACATTAGAAAGATTTCTTAAGGATTATGTAACAGTGTTTTGTTGACTGACGTAATGAATGCTGTAAATGGGGCTTTGCCATCACAGATTGCAGATCTGCCGTATCCAAAGACTGCTGTTTAAAATTCATGTTATTTTATTCACCTTTTTACTGAAATTGTTATACTGGTAATATGTCATATGCTTGGGAACAGTAAAATAAAATATTCAGCAAGGATGCATTTAATTGGTCAAAAGTGGAAGAGATTTGAAATAAATGCTAGATGAAAACTTTGTTCATGAAAAAATAAAAAATTTGTTTCATGGTTACCACAAAAATATGAAGCATCACAACTGTTTTCAACATTGATAATAGGAAATGTTTCTTGAGCAGCAAATCAGCATATTAGAATGATTTCTGAAGGATCATGTGATACTGAAGACTGCAGTAATGATGCTTCAGCCTTGCATGGCAGCAATAAATTACATTTTATATTATATGTGACCCTGGACCACAAGAGAGGAAAATTTTTGGATATTTGCAGTAGGAAATGTACAAAATATCTTCATGGAACATGATCTTTACTTAATATCCGAATGATTTTTGGCATAAAAGAAAAACCGATAATTTTGACCCATACAATGTATTATTGGCTATTGCTACAAATATATCTGTGCTACTTATGACTGGTTTTCTGGTCCAGGGTCACACATACTGCATTAGAAAACTTAAAAAAAAAAGTTATTTCTAGTTATTTAAGTTATGTTATTTATAATAATTAATAAATAATTATATTTTACAGTTTTTCCTGTCTTTACTGTATTTTTTGATCAAATAAATGCAGCCTTGGTGAGCATGGAGAATCAAAAGATAAAAAAAAAATCGAACTAACCCCAAATTATAATGTTGTTAATTGGTCATATAATTTGTAAAGATAATGGGAAAATAGTCGAAGTAATTCCAGTCTTTGTCTTTATACATTTTAAATTCAAGTGCCCAACTATGTTGTGGTACTTCTCCTAAGCACATGCTGGCAGCCACTAAATATTTCAGTTGTGACTTCACCTTGTTGCTCGGAGATTTAGTGATTTGACCCCGGTCACAGAATCATCACCCTTCATCACCCTGTGTGACCTGACTTTAGCACAATGATGTAAGGCTTCCTTGGTTGAATTCCTGGAAAGCAGACATATTCCCTTCAGAGAGCTACCCAGTGATTAATGAGTGAGCCACCTTTTCCTTTCTGCTAAATATAGTGCAGAAATGACATCACTAATATACAAGGGGGTCTTCACAATGACACGCTGGTTAGGAAGTGCCACTGAGGGTGAGAAACCTGTAGGGCTTGTTTACACTTGTAGTTTGGTTCTCAATTTAGTCCCTAAATCGAGCCATTTAGTCCTGGTTCACTTAGCGTTTACGCTCTCATTTTTAGTACAGAACCTAAAGATATAAAATAAAAGGCACAAGGATACAGCCACAACCTGATTGGATCTCTTTTATGAGGTATATTTAGCGACAGAGCTGAATGTCCAAAACAATGCCGTGTCCTGGGCTAAATGTGTTCGCTGGATGCATGTACATATGTGGGTATTTTTTACCAACCTGTAACCCACAAAGAGCTTATAAAATGTGTAAAGAAATCAACAGAGTGCCAGAAATGGGCAGAATTGCTGCACACATGGAGATCCGCTGCAAGGAGACCGCGATGCCTGTACTAAACTGTAATGGTAATGAGCTCATATAGGAACTATGAGTTCCAGTGTTGAGAAGAAAATGTTTTTAGTTCGTTTGAACTGCAACTCACAATTTGGGATCAGTAAGATTTTTAATGTTTTTTAAGGAAGTTCCTTATGCTAATCAAGGCTGTATCTATTGGATCAAAAATACAGAAGAAAACTGTCATTTTGTGAAACATTATTGCAATTTAAAATAACAGTGTTCTATTTGAATATACTTTAAAATCTAATTTATTCCTGTGAAGCAAAGCTGAATTTTCTGCATCATTACTTCAGTCTTCAGTGTCACATGACCCTTCAGAAATCATTAATATGCTGATTTATGTCAATATTTTTTGGGACCTGTGATACTTTTATTTATTTATTTATTTTTTTTAGGATTCTTTGATACATAAAAAGTTAAAAAGAACAGTGTTTATTCAAAATATAAATTTTGTGTTACAGTATACAACACTATTCAAAAGTTTGGGGTCAGTAAATTTCTTTTTTTCTTTCTTTAAAGAAATTAATACATTTATTCAATAGATAGTAAAGACTTATATTGTTAGATAAGATTTCTATTTTGAATAAATGCTGTTCTTTTTACTTATTCGTTAAAGAATCAAAGAAAAAAGTATGTTCCAAAAAAATATTATGCAGCACAGCAGTTTCAACACTGATAATAAATCAGCATATTAGAATGATTTCTGAAGGATCATGTGACACTGAAGACTGGAGTAATGGCTGCTGAAAATTCTGTGCTGCGTCACAGAAATAAATTATATTTCAAAGTCTATTAAAATAAGAAACCGATATTAGAAATTGCAATAATATTTCACAATATTACTGTTTTTTTTTCAGTATTTTTGATCAAATAAATATAGCCTTTACATTAAAAACCTTACTGATTCCAAACTCTTGAACGGCAGTGTAGATGTCTTTGGTCCACGTTGCGTTCATGTTTCAGTTGAACTGCACAAGTTTGTTTGGAAGTGGAAAATATGAGTGTCGGTCTGTTTGTTTGGTGTGCACCAGGGTTCGGATGGCAGCATTGGGACAGACAGTCAGAACATTGAAACAAATTTTCAGAAACTTTTTATATGTCATTTATATGAAGCTTTTTTCTAAGTGTTTGAGTTCTGTAATTGATGCTCTGGA